ACTTCATTCAAAATATTAATAAATTACAAGTTTTTTCAAGTAAATTTACAATATTTAATTAAACATAGATTAAATAGCCATAAAATTTCACAATATGTGTAATTTATTGTAACAAACAAATTTACTTACGTAATAAAAAATAATTTTATTAGTAAAAAAAATTTTTTTACTATAGGAGAACTTTATTGTGTGATTCAAGTGACGCGCGTCAAGTATCAATTTACATCTGACGCACGTCAGCTGCATCTGACGCAAATCGACACTTGACGCACAACATATATAATCGTGATAATGACTTGAAATGATACATATATTGAAAATTTTTCATACCCGGCTACATAAAAACATACACTTTTTTATACTATATTTCATATTTAGTAGCAAAATAGCCTAAATAGTTTATCGGTAGTTAAAAATTGTTTAGTCTTTCGTGGTATAAACTAATAAACTAATTGTTTCACAGGAAGCCGTAGATAAATATTATTGATAATCACGGCAGAACCGTGATGATCAGATAAATAATTTTGCTGAGAATAGAAATTTCATGATTGTAGAATTTTTTTTTTTTTTAATGAGAAAGATTTTTTTTGATTGATCATTTCGTTAGATAAAAAAGAATTCTTTATCAAAAATTTTATTTTATAAAAAATCTAATAAAAAATGAAAAAAAAATTCTCCACAAAAAATTTTTTAAATATTTTTCTCACGTCAAATATCTGATATTGACTTGCCCGTTCACCTATTTCTTCATACATTTTATTTTTTGGAAACCTTGGAAACCTATATTATATAGCAAGTATTAAAGTATTTATATATATTAATTTTATATATTTTGACGTTTTTTGTATAATGAACTTAACTAACTTTCACCGGGGGTGATGATCACCGGTGACTGAAATTATGACGATCGACTAGCATTAAAAAAATATAGTGCCGGTAAAAATTGATAATTCCGGCCAACAGTGCTGATCAGATTTGAAGTAAAAAACTTTATATAAATAGCACAAAGTAGTTAGGTATATGTTAATCAGTTATACAGAGAATTTTTTTTTTTAAAAAAAAATTTTATTTCATAAAATTTTTCTGTATTGCTTTATATAGTATTATTCAATAAAACTATTTAAAACTTAAAAAATTCATTTTATTTCTATTGACTTTTTTTACTTAAATATTAAAAGTCTTTGAAAAAAAATAAAAACATTCGCGAAAAAATTCAAAGTTAAATGTTACATAAGATCAACCAATCATTCTTTACCTTCATTTTAAAAAAAAATTTTTTAACTGTTGTATTTTTATTTTATTTTTTTTATAAAAAGATAAACTTCGTTTTTCTTCCCTCGTCCTTTCCTTCTTCTCTTGTATATTATTTAAAAAAGAGTTGAAGATTACCGACTCCTTCAGTCTCCTATGCAACATTTCGTAAGTTTTAGAAAAAATTTTCTTTTCTTTAATTCATTTTAACGAACGGTTACTAACAGTTCATTTTTTTTCTTTTTTAGACAGTTCTCCGATTTCTTTGGACGCGCGGGATTTCATTTTTGGTAAGTTTATTTTCCTGTTTTAGTTTATTATTCTAACGAAACATATGTTAACGTTTCGAATTTATCTTTTTTGTTTAGATGGGCCTGGATATATGGAAAGAAAATTGAGACTATTTTTTTCAAATTTAAATTTTTAGCAATTTTTTCGGGACGCGTAGAATGAGATTTTGATTTTTTTTAGATATCAATGAAGTACTACCTTTTCTAAGCTTAGGAATATCATAAGGTGTCGTGAGAGTTGATTTAAGCCATGTCAATTTGTTGATTAGATTAAAGACGAGTACCCTCCATATGGTACCTATGTACTATTGTTCAAGGTCAAGATCGAATTCAATAATCTATCTTTCAATATCTTATGAGATCTTGGTAAGAATTCGGTTAATTCATTTTTCTTAACGAAATGTTTTCTAATAGTTCAATTTTCCTTTTTCTTAGGCAGCTGTTTCTTCAGATTTCTTCAGATGCGATAGAATTTAGTGGGTGGGTTTTTCTTTGAGACATCTATTTTAATGAATGTTCATTAACATTTCACTCTTTTCTTGGTGAACTTCAATGACGAGAAACAGATGTAAGAAGCAATCAAGAATTCGATAAAGATAGAAGGTTAAGATTAGGCTTGGAGTATCCATGGAGGTTGAGTTTCATAACAAGCGATCTGTCCTAACAGATGGTACTCACACAAGAAATGACAGTCTTCTCTGGAAGATATTTTCATCCTGTCTTTCAAAATAAATGGATATTACGAAGGGTAGTTCTTTTTTTTAGAGCTCTTGTCAATTTATTTAGAAGATGTAGATTTGGGTAGGATTATTAGGGGAGGACGTTCCTAAGACTGTAATCTCACCAATTAAAGATAATACTTCTCCAAACGGTGTTATCAATATAATTAACACTTTTAGATGGGAATATAAACTACCATCCAAGAGAGAAAGAGATGATTACGTTTTAGTGCTAAACCCAGACTAATGTTATATTTTTTTTCCATAAGCCACAACGCTCTATATATGACGAATCAACATCATCTTTTAATGATCAGTTCACCTGATACTTTGTTGTTTTACTAAATAGAATATTTAATTTTTACATAAGTTGTTGAAAAGGTAGTATTAATAAGGTGTAAAAAAAACATGTGATGCAAAAATATTTTAAAAAAAAATCTCGAAAGAGAAATCATTTATATCATTTGAACAATGTTCCAGATTCGTCATTTGCCAAATATTTCAAAATTTTGATTTCTAGTTCTTTTTTAAAAACATAATTAATAATAAACAATAAATAATGTAATAAACTATTTGGACTTTTTCTCGGTAGTAGTTTTAATTTTACGCTTTTTGACGGCTTTGGGTATTTTATTCTTTCTTTTTTCTCTTACCACTTCTTTCGCAGCTTTCTTCCACTACTAAAACAAGTATAAATGTAACGTTAATCACCAAATAAGACATTATACTCTAATATAATAAACAAATCCGTACTTTTTAGATTCTTTGTCTTCATTTCGTTTTCCTCTAGATTGTTTCCTTAACACATCATCATCTTCACTTTCTTTCTTCATCTTGATCATTCTTTTTTTTTTAATTAGTAATGCATAATTAGTTTAATCATAAATGATTACATAATTATATAAAAGTAAAATAATGTTACGCAGTAAAATGTTGCGCAGCAATCATGTGATATAACTGGACCCGTGATGCCGATCAATGTCGAATATGTTTGACATGTTCGATATGTTGCATATGTCCGATATATAGAACATGTAGCATATATGGGATATATAAAACATGTAGTATATATGGAACATATAGTATATATAGAATATATAGGATATATAGGATATATAGCATATGTAGCATATGTTAAACATTTTTAGTTTGGAAATTTATGTATATATAGACCTGTAATTAGACCTAAATTCAATATAGGAATGTGTGTAAAGAATTTAATTAATAAAATGTTTACCCTTTAATATACACCTTAATTTTAAGTTTGGTTTTATATGGTTAATCTGCCTTCCCTTATTTGTGTCTGATTGTATGCGCCAGTNCATCTGATTGGATTGATTTTAACATATACGTTGATCCTTAAAATTACCTTCTGCTTTATTAAATATAAACATTTTTTAATGTATAGCTTATTTTTAAGCTCATAAGAACTGACTTCTAACAATAATAAAAATTATACTTAACCCTATAACTAACCGTTCTAACTATTTTTTATAAACCCATGCCATATTGAACTAACTGATCTATTTTCTATAAGACTGTTAATCATTACTTTTTCTAAATTTTTATGTTTTTTGGTTTTTCCTTTTTTTTTAAATCCCAATTTTCGTACCTTTTCCTTTTGTCTTTTTTATTAATTCCTCTCTTTTTCTCCATTTCTATTACTTCTTCGCATCCGCTTGATCCAAATTTTGTTTCGAAGTTCATAGCAAAAATTAAGATCAATTTTCTTTCGTCCTTATTATAAGAAATATTGTTTTGAATCTATTGTTAAAAACTCCTCTAAAGCTCTAATTAATTTCCACTTTCTTGTTCTGTTTAATAGAATCGTGGATTTTTTAAAAAGAATTTTGGTGAAATGAATATTTATGTCTCTTATTATTGCTACTTTGTTTTCGTCTCCTGATTCTGACAAATTTTCTTCAAAGGATACTATTGCATTAAAAATTATTTCTCTAATTGTGTATTCGTTTGCTTCACATATCCATATGTGTTCCTAATCTTCTGCTTCTATTCGCATCTTGGACATGCACTTGAATCTATTGTGTTTATCTTTCGATTATATAAAGTAGCATACGTGGGTAACTCTTTTATTAAATTTTTAATTTTATATGATCGTTCTAATGCGTCTTTATCATTGGTTTGACGTTTAGAGAATTGATTTCGATTACTAATAAATTTCAATCAAATTTATAAGTGAAATTATAATAGAAAGGATCTTCAATTATTCAATTAATTCGCTATTTAGAATTTCATTCTTGTATTTCACGTTAGTCTTTGATTTTCCCCATTCTCTATAACCTCCTGTAATCAAATTCTTGTCCCAATATAAGTCGAATTCATTTACTATCAATCCCTTCAATTCAATGGAACATTCTGGCAAATTTTCCAAGTTAGGATCTTTCTTTGAGTTCATATAATCTGTCAATTGATCTTTAATTTTCATGGCTTTTTTATATTCTTCGTTGTTGAATATACTCAAAGTATTATTCGTTCTTTCTAACCAATCTTCAATCCACATCAGTTTTATCACCGAGAAATTTTTTGATGCTCATCTTGATGTCATTAGTCACAGAAACAGATAATTTACCATCTAGAATTTTATCTTTTAAGAAAGAAAATATTTGGATTAATAAAAAGAATATAAATTCAATAGCGAAATCTTTTTTTCCTATAAAATACATACCAAGATGAGTCCTATTTGCATGTTTACTCAAAATTTTAAGTTGTTCTTGTAATTTAGTTTCAATAACTTTTTTCTAGCTTCATCAGATACACCTCACCAGCTGATAATAAACTTCATTTAGAAAGTCCTTTTTGATATTTCATTGATCCAGATAGTACACCGCTAGCTTGTAATTTTTGTCTTAATCAATTGTACTGTTTAGTAAAATCTTTTAATAAAAATGATAATTTAACTGTGTATTATCTATAGATATAAAAACAAAATCTCAAATATTTAATTATGCTTATGATTTACCTCCTGTTACATTATCCCATTCTTCATTATCGTTTAACTATCTTCAAAATAATCATCAAAGCTCCATCGTCATCATAATCAAATTCTTCATTATAATTAAAATTTTCTTTAATATTTTTATTTAATTCATTACTTATTTGCTGTTCATCTTGTTCACCTTTTACCACCGTTCGATTCATCTCACTGCGACGAATCTAATGGCAAGAGTTTCATCTCTTTACCATCGATATTGACGGAGTTGGGTCGCTATAAATGTTTAATGATTATTGATATCGGAGCACGGTCTTGTGATTATATTTGAATGATTTTACTACCATTCGATTCGTCTCACTGAGACGAATCTAATAATAAGAGTTTCATCTTTCTAGCATCGATATTGACGGAGTTGAATTTCTATAAATATTTAATGATTATTGATGCCGGATCACGTCTAGTGATTGGATTTGAATGACCTTACTATTAGAATCGCCTCATCAAGACCATTTATTGTTAAAGTTTTTAAATATAATTCGGCCAAAATTAAGGTTAAATTCTGGCTAAGTATTTTCGTAATACGAAATTAATTACGGAATACTAATGATTACTTAAGAAATACAGAATTACGTAATTACGTATTTCCGTAATACTAGAATAATTTCGGACACAAGTATATAAATTATATCTGGCATATTCTGAAATCGTGTGAAAATTTTTTTGATCATAATTATCAATTTACATTAATGTTGACCGCTGATTTTTTTTTATTTCAGTTTTACTTCGTCATAATTTTTTGATAACATGTTGGCAAGGTTCGTTGAAAAGGAAAAAATTCTTTGAATATATGTACATATTTTTTTTAATAGTTGTCACGATTTCATTTTATTAACCTTTCTGTTAACATGATATAGAATCTAGATTGAAGAAGAACTAAAATTCATGGAATGTTGCTTGATTGAAATTAATTCTTCCTATTAATCATTCTGCATTTTATAAAGTCACGATATAACTTTTTCAAACTAGACTTGAACATGTCACGTTTTGAATGAAGAATTTCTTTTAAATCAAGTAATTATAAAAGAATTTGCGTTTATTTCTTTTATAAATGGATCACATTGATTCTAACATATTGAGATCACATTGATTATAGCATATAGAATTCCTTTTACAAAGCACATTTTTTCTTTACTTACAACCTTTTCCCTAGCACAAACAATCTATATAACTAAAATGAATACTTATCAATGATTAAAAATTTGAATATTAAATATTTATTAGGCGAAATAAAATCACTCATTAAATATCAGCTTATGCGACAATTATTCCCCTATTATGAATGCCAATTCCCAAAACTCACAAAACCTCTCATACTTTCATACAATAAAAATATCAATAAATAAACTTCTTTTTTTTTTATATATCAATAAGCTTTATTTAATAATCATAGGTTATAAATTACATCATGTTCAGAAAAGTAAAAAAAAAAAATATTTAATAACTAAATATCTCTAAAAAAAAAAAAAAATAATAAAAATAATAATAATAATAAAGACACTTAGTGATTTTTTCAAAATTCGAAATCATTAATGAACATGAAATCTTTAGAATTTTCAAAAATTTTAATGGTTTTATCCTTTTTATACCTTTCAATCATTTCATTAAATCTCTTTTTATTCTTATTAAATTCCTCTCTGCTTAAATATCTAGTTTCGTAATAATTAGCTAAAATAGGATATAAATATAAAGGTTTTCTACCTTTTTTACCTTTCCATTTCTTAAAAAAATTATCCAAAGTATCTATCTTAAAATAACAATAATGAAGTTGAAATTTATATAAATTCTCTTGAGCAGCATCAGCCAAAACATCCAATAATTTTTTACCATCTTCATCATTATAAATACTTCCTCTAAAAATATATAAACCTTCCAAATACTTACAATTAAGTAAAAGTTGTTTAAAATCTTCAAGATTTTCGTCTTTTAAATAAGTTTTAAGATATTTAAGTTTACGACAATGTTCAGTGATTGAACGTATAAGTAAAGCGATTTGTTCTTCAGATTCTTGATTCCCTTTATCCAACCAAATGACTTGAATAGTATTTTTAGTTGCTTGAATAATTTTTACAGCAACGGAGAATGATATACCAATTTGAAGAACTTGTAATTGAGAAAAATTATCAAATTTCAATTGCTTATGAACAGTAACATTACGATATCTACTATCATATAATACTAATTTTCGTAATTTCGTCAAATTTGTAAGAAGATTATTATAAAAAGATACGTTATTTTCGATAGTTAAATCCAAATAAGTAAGATCACGTTTTTCAACTATAGCATCACCAATCATTCCATATTGTTTTTCTAAACTAGTATTATTACTCTCATTAACATTATCTCTAATTATGATAGATTTCAATCTTAATTGAGCTTGAAAAAATTTACTAATTCCAGTAGGATTTGAACAAGTAAGATTAATATCAACTTTTTCTATTGATTTACATAATTCGGTCAAACTACTAATAAGTTGAATGAATTTATCATCTAAACGTAAATGATTGAGATTGGAAAGATTTTTATCAATATCAGGAAAGTCGGTTAATTTATAATTACAATTAGTTAAATCGATAAAAATGAGCGAGGAACATTTTTTAAAAAAAAATTTATAAACCTCTTTTTTCAATTCACTTCTTTGAGATTCATTATAATTATTAAAAGCATAATTATAAATATCATTATCTTTTTTACCATCAGCTGAATATGTATGATTAATATATCTGAGATGACTAACATAATCGAATAAAGGTTTTGGAGGTTCTATTTTAATGTTTCTTCCCGCCAATATTTTTTTAGAATCATCAGGTAATTGAGATAGAATAGTTCTAAAGAATGGTTTCGATTTTTCAAGTTTATCTTCATTTAAGAATAAGCTCCAAGGATCCTTCCATAAAATTCTCAACGAAGTTTGACACCAAAGTCTATTAACGAATAAACAAGAAACTAAAGATTTCTTATCATCGTATAATCTTTCAAATATGAGAACAAGATTATCACTATTGAGAATATCAATATTGAGTTTATTTTGTTTAGGCATTTTCGTTAAAAAAAAAAAAAAAATTTTTTTTTATTAAAAAAAATTTTTTTTTTTTTTTTTTTGCTTCTTTTTAATCTTTTTTTAATAAAAGAGGGAAATGCGTGGCAAGTTACACGTGAAAAAACAAAACGTAAACTTTAGTAAAAATAAGGGAAATGATTGACATATTTATATTGGCTTTACGCCGAGGTTTATCTAAAAATAGATTTGATCTGCGATTACGTATACCACAATGTTTACTATTGTGATTTTCTAACGCAGTAAAGAAATCAATGAAGAATTTCCTGACCGAAATTTCTGATTATGTCAATAATATCACAAATTTTTTTATTAAGTTTAGCACATTTTATTATGTCTTATATTTGATAAAGATTGACAGTATTTACTTATCTCTTTTAAGTTATTGTACAAAGAAACTTTTTTAAAAAAGTAAATAAATATACTGACTAAACAGGGGTTCATTTATACACAAGTATATCAAGTATATCTTTGAATGTAACGTTCTGGGAATGAATATACGTTAAATTTTAATATAAAATTTATAATTTACGATTAAAATTTATTTATTATAAAGTTGTGATAAAAAAAAAGTCGGGATTATTATTTAATTAAAATATTACATATCTGATATAGATATGCTTTTGCCAAATAAAATATTAATTTTTTTTTTAGCCAATTATTTTCTATATCAAATTTTTTTTTCCAATGATTCTGTCGTAGTATTAAATATTTTCACACGTTAACTTGAACTAAAATTGTACACGTGATTTAATAAATAATTACGTAAGTTGTTAATTGACTATTCGTTATTATTTGATATATTGAAGGATCTAAAACAAAGCTTATCAATCGTCGTCTGACCAATAATTAGTTGCTTGATTATATAAGATATGTGGCATTTGTGGGTTACAACACACTAACGCAGTCTTCGTTAATATTACGTTGTGAATTAACGTTAAAGTATTATTTAATAAAAGAAATCAATTAAAATAGTTCAATTATATGCAATATATTATTATATTATCCGCACGTTAGTCCGTCACTTACTTACATTGTTTAGTCATGATATTCCAGACTAAAATAATTTTATGTCAAAGTAGATTGTAACTGATATATTAATGCAAATAAATAATAATTATTGGTTAGGGGGGTAAAATATCGGTCACCCCGAATAACTAGGTTATTGCGTTAGTCACGCAAGATCGCTATTATTATTGTAAGAGAATTAAAAAGTAAACTAAACTGTAAAACTTATTAAAGGATTAATTTGTAGTCATATTTAACCGATAAAAAAAAAATATTAATTATTTAGCCATCAACAAAAAAATATCAGTCCATCAAAATCAGCATGATCCTAATTAAAAGTCAATATTAATCACAATCAAGTCATATTGCATGTTTAAAAGAAATCTATCACATACTTTATAGTGAATGCAAAAAAATAAGTAAATGTATAAATCTAATATTGTAAAAATTGACTAATAGATAGAAGCTAAATAGTAATTAATTGTAATTAAATTAATACATTTTCCTATTTCAGGAATAAAATTCAAATTAAAAATAAATTTATAAATAAAATGTAAATAATAATATATTGTAAGCATATAATATATATTTATTTAGCATTACTTTGAGCTTCAATATTCGATTCTTCAAATATTACGCTTCCTTGGGACATTTACAGTTGAAATGAGTGCACTTAATGGTCTACTGGTATAAATTGCACCTGGATGCTGAGAAATTGTAGGATTTATATTTCTGAAGATGACCTAAATATTATACCTTGTCTTTGTATATCATTTATTCTCTTGATGTATATTCTGAAATGAAACAACAGAAAAATAATTTAATATACTTTTATAAAATTTAATATAAATGATATTATACCTTTAATGTTATAGGATTTTTCAATTGATGGCTCCAATTTATTATCTGGAAAAAAATATTATTATTTATTGTCTAGAATAAACCTAAAGTTAAATTGTATACCTTGTTTTAGTATATCAAATATCATTGATTTGATAGATGAAGATTTAGAATCAATGATCTTAAATCTTAATGATCTGCTTGTATATATTGTATTTGGATGACATCCTTTAGTAAATTCTGGTCCAAGTAATTTTTGTTGAGTCAAATCTAGTCTTTTATTCTCTGCTTGTTTAAGCTGTTTTGTGTCTATTAATATATTGAGACGCAACCAATACTCACATTTATCATGTAGAAGGCCTTTTCGTAGGATCAATTTCAACATCTTTTCATTAAATTAACAAAACATTCGGGAGTATCTTTTGTAATTTCAGTGCGTTTTCCAATCAATGATATTCTGTATTATGTTTAATATCAGCAAAGGGTTTACAACTTGTTGTAAATTCCCACATGACTATAAATATCTGATGCTTAAATATTTCTGGTGCAATATATTATTTAATTAAGTATTATTTCATTTATTTGCGGGCTGTGACAATCCAAAATCTCCAATTTTACAAGTCCGAGTTTCAATTATCCACTATGGAGATCACGATGTATAATATCATTATTATGAATATTAAAAAGTCTAAAGTAAATTACATGATTAAATGTATTATAAATTATCAATAAATAATATAAATATATTTAAAATAAATACCCATCTGAAATTTGATAAAGAAAATTCATTTTATCTTTCCATGTAATATCAGCAAAATTTTTTTGTAAATAAATCATGTAAATTTCCTCTTGTTGCATATTCCATTATTAACATATATTCATCTGTATTAGGTTCTTTTGTAAGGCCAAAACATTGAAGAATATTTTTATTAAGCCGACAAGTATAATTTACTTTTAACTAAATTTTTTTTTTTAAAAAAAAAAAATATTATAATATTGAATTAATAAAATTATGAAAATCTGATGTTCGAATGTTTTAGTTTTACCAACATTTAAAAACTCTTTACAATTTTTTGTGATTTCTTAAGTCGCTTTAAAGCGACAACCTTATGAGATTCGTCAAATAAAATTGCCTTATACATAATGATACCGAATCCTCCTTCGGCTAATTTTTCTAAGCTTACAATTTTAAGAATATGGAACATTAATATAAGAATAACCATAGTAATAACTTTTAATAAATGTATAAACATTTAATGGGTCAGTATTTCTGTCCTTATTATATAATAATTAACAATCTCATAATTACTTATAACCCTAAATCCTAGAATTTCATCTATATCATAATTACCACTAATAATATTTTTAAAATCAATAGAAACAACCAATATTCTTTTACATTTCTTACATTGAGTTGCCAAAAATAATATTAGTTGTTAAACAATATCTACATCCAATCTCCGACTACAGACTGATCAAGTATTAAAAACATCCCACCATGGTAAATAAAGAACTGAAATAGGTTTTTCATATATTGAATTTGTCTGTTCTGAAGAAATTAGATAACAACCCGGGCACATTCTATATAGCCGAAATTTTTAGTATCTAGTAATTTTCCGCATAACTTACATAATTTACAAAAATCTCTTTACGTAGTAGTATAAAATATCCAAACGCATAATAAGAGAAAATCTGTTTAAAGGATATTATAAATGAATAATTTTCGCACCACTCTTTAATATTATATGTTATAAACATTTCATTCATATTATTTGTTTTACGTTTTTGACACAATCAATGTGTACCTATACACACATCCAAGTATTTATTATTGCAACTTTTGCAATATTTTTGATAATATATATGGGTCTTATCGTATTCATTTCCACAATAAAAACAAATTAACGTCATTTCGATTAAATGAAACAAAGTTAATTTGATATTGGGCTAAGATTTTAATCTTGGTGTTGGGTCAAAAGAATTCTCATTTGCATTTATGAGTTCCATGTCGTAAAATGTTTGATAAAAAACATATAAAAATTTTGAGATGAATTTATAACATTTTATGTAACATTGTATTATTAATTTTTCAGCCTTTTTTTTTAACTCTTCACTTATTAAAGTTCTTGGTGTTGCCTTTAAGAAATTTCCAGAGTCCGCCTCATTATTTTGTAAAGGCAGTTCCTGTTTCGCAGCTATTTGTACAAGGTACCTTGCAATAAAATTTAGTGATTAATATTTGTGCAACATATAAATAAAATCTGGGCTTTGCGTTATCGTACAAAGCTTTCATGCAACTGTTAATTTTTACCATAACAAAAACCGGGTTCATATTTCTTGAATTATTATATCAAAAGATTGATAAACTTAAAATATTTCCAGCCAATCACAAAAGGTTAGTTACCGCAAAAAAAAAATACAAAAAAAAAATAACAAAAGGTGCTACAGAACTATTATTTACAAATTAACGTCGTAAAAGAACTCCATAGAAAATGTTGCTGATCAAAAGAAAGTCTTTGAAGAAGGATTCTGGTGTCACAAATTAACCAATATCAGTTGTACAAACTTTACTCCATGTAATTTTAAGCAGTATATATTTTTTTAAAAAAAAAATTTACCAAATCAGTGGTAAAACGTGGAAAAGATCACGTGGAAAAGAGTAATTATATCACAGTTCCTTATATTCTATTCAATAAAATTTTCAGAGAACCGAAAATTAGTTTTTTAAATAAATATTTATCTTTAATGCAGATGTTATCAATGTTCATCACATGAGCTGAATCAGCTGGATAATAAAGTTATAATAAAGTTATAATGAATTAAATACATAATAAAATGAATTTTGGTTGTACTCTTTCTGTGAAATAAAAATAAAAATAAAAGTACATAAATGAATTTTGTTAAATATTGTATGTTAAGGGATTCATATATTAGATATAAAATATTTCACTCACTCACTCATGACAAATTTTCTTGACTCGTTGACCTCAATCTGAAATCATGTGATTTAGGATTAAGAATGACATAAGATGGTGGCGCAAAGATATTCTTGAACGTTTTATGCTTTAGAAATCATTATGAGTTTGATTTAATTGAATTACAAGATGTATGCATATCAAGTTTGCGTTTACAATTAATTCTATTTCCTTTCATAAAATCCTTTGATATGCTAATATCTATTTATTCCTTAACTGTTAATAAAATGTTCCTTGTACTTAAAATTGTAAAATTAATGAAAGCAAATCTTGGTGATTGGTAGTGTGCCTTCTGGGACTTCTTGAACGGCTTAAGAAACGAAAGTAATATTCCTTGATATTTTTATTCAGTATTTTTCGATTCAGGTTAAATTCCAATAATTTACCTTGATACTACTTGATTAGATCGATTGGTTTTGAATTTTGATGTATTCATATGATCTTTTTATTGATATAAAAAAAAATTCCAAAATGAAAAATACTGTAACTGTATAAATATATAAATTTCGATAAACATTACCAAATATATATTGTTGATCATATATATAAATAAGAACCTGATTTTTATTGTACAACATTAATTTCATATATAAATTCAAAATTTATCCGACTTTTTTCAATTTTTTTATATTAGAGAAGTTCGGATAAAAAGATTAAATTACAATCAGTGATTTATGCATAATAAACGAGTTTTATTCTAAAATTGGGTTTCACTATATTTTTTAAATATGGGTTATTGACAAATTTGATTATAAGTGATTATGATGCCCTTTTAAAATCAAATTTGCACACGTAAAATGATACTTTATATTGTAATCGCGTCATATCAAATGCATTTTCTTTTCGCCTTTTCTTCATAACTTTAAAATACTTGTAAAAACAACTTTTCTTACAATATTTTCGATAAAAAATGGTGATCATTGAGATTTTAGATGAAGAACATACGATGTAAATAAGGACGCTCAAAATATTCAGGTGAGTTTTAAAAAAGGGTTGTTAAAATTATAGCTAAAACTAATCAAATTTTATTATATAGGTATTACCAACTAACAGTGATTCTAGTAGTGATAATGAATGTATAAAGGAGACAGGAATAACATATTTTACGAAAAATCTTGGTGTATCAACAGTTATTTATTCAACTATACCTATAGTAATATCCTGCAATATCTTCTGACGGTGTCGCAATAGTTTTTAGTATACAAGGATGGAAAATCATTTTGATGCATTTAATGATGTAAGTTAATATTTAAACCGGCTTATTTCAATTAATTAATTAAATGATTTATACTTTTTAGATACAGTATCTATTGGTAGCGGTGGTGGTTCTCCTATTCAAAAATGTCCTTTTTTTTGGTAACATTACTGTTACAAATTATGCAAGAGAGTGCCAAGGAATCAAACATTGTTCCTTTTCTAATTCTGCTTATAAATGCCTAACATTGTGAAGTAGACTTTGAATCTGATCTTTACAAACAAATTAATAAAGACAATAATGAAAATAATAAAGAAAATTATACATATGTAAGTAATGTTTAATTCAATTTTTGATTAATTAGCATAATTAATTAATTCTTATTTAATTATAGTACAATTCTTGCTGCTCAAGATTCACAATGTAAATTTAAGCAAAATGGTATCACTTTTACGATTATTTTGAAAAAGAATCTTACAAATATCGTTGGATTATTGGATGTACTAACTATAAGCCTCAAGAATAATGGCACAGATATATAGAGATTGATACTCAAAAATTGATATTGATTTATTACGCAAATTATTCAATGGAGAACTATTGTAAGTATGTTTGATTAGATTTTAATTTTTATTATTTAATTATTTTTTTATTTTTTATTTAAACATTCGTTTATTTATAACTTTGTTTGATGTTATCAACTTGAAAGTCCATTCAAGTTAAGCATATTTACGGTAATGAATGGAGTTGTATTTTAGGTGATCTTGATATGGGGCAGATGAAGGGTTTAGGATTGTCACCACATAGTTTAGATACAACATGTGAATGGGAAGTTCACATTATGAATATCTTTAAGTTATGTCATGTACATTTTCAAAGGTTAGAACTCAATAATTATAATTATTATTTTATTTATTTATTTTTATTTAATTTTTAATTCTTTTTTTTTTGATTTTAGAAATGTGAAATGTGAATAATAAACGTTTTAGCGATCCAATTAAAAAAAAGATGACTTCATTGCTAAAGCAGCAAGCAAAGTGGAATTAAATCAAATTTTTTCAGATATTGAAAAATCTGATGAAGATGGCGTGAAAGGTATATTGCTAAAATTTTTTTTTAAAAAAAAATCCGATTTCTAACTTTATTGTTTTAATTAGATTGGATCGACTATTATCAAATACTTCATATTTTAGCAACAATTAATTCTTCAGCATCATTAATGGATGTTGAAATATGGAATCGGTATGGAAATAATACCAACGCAGCAGAAGCAGCGCACTTTTTAGTTAATAGAACTCAGCTATTTTATGGTTAGTATTTAATATACAGTATTTTATATAGTAAAATTTAATTAATTATTAAATACTTTTTAATCGAAATTAGATGAACGTCATTTAAAATAATTGAAATTCAAGATCTTTCAGCTTTTCCTTATACAAAACAAGATAAAAGCCAAGTTAAAAAGCAATTACTTGCAATAAATCGAAAAGGTAAACTTTTAATTTGAAATTTAATATTTATGCTAAAAACTAATATACTTTAAAATTTGCAGAAATCGAATCAAAAGAATAATGAAGATAAAAATTCGGTTAAAAGGAAATATGGCCGATCCAAAAACCAATCTTATGAATTTACGATCAAAAAAGGTTGATATCGAAGAAAGACGTTTGCGTTTGGAGTTTGAAATAGAAGAACGAAAAATAATTTTAAGAAAACGTTGAGAAAAGCAGTGGCTGAGGTAGAGGCTATTGAAATCGCTAATGAAGAAGCAAAATTAGCCTTAAAAAAAATGATTAGATTTGTGTACTGATAATGAAATAAATAAACCAGTTTATAATTAGTAAATACTTTGATTTAAATATCAATAATTTTCTTAACAAATTGAGATAATTTTCGACAAATACATAGTGTTAATTATTGGGATTTTATTTATCGGTTAATCATCGAGTTACAATTATATATCGGTAATTATCACATTTTGATTTTAATAAGGATGCATTCTCGATAGAGGTGGAATAAGAATTAACGTCCCAAAATATACACTTATAATTCTGTATATTTTCTGACTTTCTTTACAACTGAACACTGGCCATGATACGAACGTTTTTAAACATGATTTGAAAATGTCTGAGTATTCCCTTTATATGATAAATTAAAGCTTGTCGGAAAATCATATACAGTTAGCGACATAATTCACAACTATATTAGCGTCTTTAATTGTTACTATTACATGTTTAATTAAGCCTGAATTTTTTTTAGTAACGGTTGTACAATTCGGTGTTGAATTGATCCATTTTGTGGAACGATTTTGATAAAAACAGCAGCGAATAAAATAGGAGATCAAGTTCCAATTCAATCTTTCGCTCGATTATTTAAAGGCGAAGATACATACAGTATTCCACATTTAAATTTGTTGCAAGACGCATTATTCAAAGTTGAAGGCGCAGGACAGATCACTGCTGTTAACTCATGAAATACCAGACGAAAAATCGTAATATAAAAAAATCTTACAACAGAATTCTCCAGGTTTCTTGCTTGAAACTTATTTATATATTTAAGTTTTTATTTGAAATATTTATAAATTTAGAAATTTCTAAGCCGTATAAATTTATGTTACATAACCATAACAAGATTAGGCCCACCAGCCGATATGTTTTAACGCGCTTCCATCTAAAAGTCTATTTAAAATCTAAATCATTCAGTTAAAATGATAAATTATCCCGCGCCCATACATTTCTAAAAAAAAAGAACAAATGATTTAGTAAAATTAACAAAATAATTAAACAATTATAATTTTATAGTACATTCCGGTAACAAAATATAAAGTGAAAAGTTCAATTTTATTATTAATAGTAATCACAGTTACAACTAATCAGAGTGTATTCAAATATAATAATTATACCGTAAATCCACCGTAATTGCTGAAAGTTCCTTTGTTAACATTTGTCTGATTATATTAGAACGTAAACATTACACGGTGCGATATTAATTAAATGTAATCTTCATAGCCATAACACTCTTTCAAATCCTTCATCAAAAGAAATATCATTATTTATATCCATTCAAATTCTTCAAATCCTTCATCAAAAGAAATATTATTATTTATATCTATTCAAATCCTTCACCAAAAGAAATATTATTATTTATATCCATTCAAATCCATTCAAATCCTTCACCAAAAGAAACATTATTATTGAACTTTTTCACTATTCCTCTTGCTTTATATTCTTCTATCAAATCTTCTACATTTTCTATATGACCAAATTGTAATAACAGAGGACGTCTACCTTTCCAATTATCAAAAAATAATTTTAAGGATTCCAAACTGGGAGAATCACTAAATTTAAATTTAAACAAATTAATTGGTGATGATTTAATTAATACACCAAATAATTCATCCCAATCAAACCCAACATTTCCAGTAATGAATAATCCATCTAAATAATGACATTTAATTAATAAACTTTCGAATTCAGAGAGATTATTATCGTTATGTGTCAACATTATTTTAAGATACTGAAGTTTCGGACATTTTTGATGAATAACTTTGGTAATTATTCTCTCATCATTTAATACATTAACGTTAAGTATGGTATTAGTTTTAATTTCAGTAAGAAGCCCATTCGTACTCTCTATTAAACTTATTAAAGCATTGAATGGAATTTTACTAACTCTTAAGATTTCTAAATAAGGTAAAGATACATCATCTAAATAATTCCATTCCAATACATCGTTAAGACAACCGCTCACTTCTAATCCCCTTAAATTTACAAAAGATGAAATAATCTTTGTACTCGGTCTTTTAGTCAATTTAAAATATTGTACGGTATTTACATGTTCAATTAAAGAATTTTCAAGGGCTATACAAAAATATACATCGCTGTATGAATGAGTTGTTAAACAAATTTTCGATAAATTCCTTTGACCCCTGATTAATCTAATAATTCCATCATTATTATTAAGAGCTTCTATAAAAAGATCCAAAACTTTAATCGATTTACATAATTTTATTAAACCATCTGAGAGTTCATTCTTTATGCTAGTACTACAATTAAGATATTGAATTCTTGAAAAGCAACTTTTGGCTCCAGGAAAAAGATGTAGTTGATAAGCAAATTGATAAGATATATAAAGATGTGTATAATATCTATTTTCATTAACAAAAAGATTAATTATTTCATTTTCAATAATTGATAATTTTGATTTTTCTTGAAATGATTTAATCATTCTCTCAATTTTATTAAAATTTAGATGTCTACAAAAACTAATATAATCAAATAAAGGTTTACGATATAAATCTGTTAAAGAATCAAGTTCTAGTTCCATTTTTTTTTCATCTGAAAGGTGAGAAAGAATTATATTTAATAATAACTTGTCTTGTTTCTTCTTTAAAGTTTTCCATGGATTTTTCCATAAAATTGGAAGAATTATTTTACACCAAACTTTATTAACTGTGAGGCATGAAAAAAGAATATTTTTATCATCTTGTAATTCTTCAAATATGATAAAAATGACATCGTCGCTTAGCTTTTTTTTTTTTTTTTAGAAAAAAAAAAAAATTTCCAAAAATGATTAGCAAATATCTCCATTTCGTCATTTATTTATAAAATTATATTGTTGTACAGAATTGATTTTGCTTAGTAATTATTTAAGACGATCTGAACAAAAAGTCCGTCACGCGGCCGATTTTTTGATTTTTTTTTCTCATTGACAAATCTATAATTAGAGTATAAGTGTTAGGAGGGCGCAGTGGGGTGTACGATATTAACGTACGAACTGACCCGAGTTTATTAAGGAACTCCCATTAAGTGTTATTTATACCTTACATATGTTTAAAAAGTAAGCCTATTTTCATTTTGTTTTACTGATAAAAGGAATAAAGTTTTGTGAAATTTTAAACAAAAAAATAAAATTACTTTAATTACTTTAAAAAAGTTTGCCGTAGTATTTATTGATTGCTACTGCATACCGGAGTTAGACGGAATACACAAAGCTGCACGTTATATCAACAAAGGAATTCTATATTTTTGTCGATCAAAGAAGAAAGTCCTTAAAGAAAATAAAGAATTTCTAAAAACATGCATGTAAACTTTATTATATTATTTATTTCTATTTATAAATTTAACAATGACAGTATAATATAAATGACATATGCGTGATAATAAATATGAATATGAGGAAAAATTTACACAAATATTTACAAAGAAAAAAAAAAAAATTTCTCGTAAAAAACTATAAAATCTCGTAAAAATTCTTGAAATTTTTACCATACTAATAAATAATATTTCTTATAAACAACAAGTTACATAATACGAAAACAAAAAGAAAGATAATAGTAATAGCAAAAATAAAAGTAATAATGAATAATGATAATGTTATTAAACAATCTTTATAATCAAAATCATCAATAAGAAATTCAATAAAATCAAGAACATAATTAATGATAGGATATATACGTTCAAAATCAAGGTATACTAAATAATATCCATCATATTTTTTACAATGTTCAATTAAATGTTTGATTTCATTATCTGACATCCATGATGGAAAAACTTCATAAAGAACTCCTTTTTCTTCAATAGAATTTATATGATTTCCACTTCCTGTTATAAATTTTATAATTGTTATATTTTTGTAATAAGATTCTTTAATTGTATTTATAACAAGACGTTTTGCCGTTTCACGTTGAAAATTATGAAGATCAACTTCAACTTCTTTTAATGATGAATAATAATGTGACATTGTTATTATATATTTGATTTAATATTTAATATGTTTTTTAAAAATTCCAAATATTAAAAAAATGGTTTAAAAAAATTTTTTTCGCTAATAGTGTTTGAAGGGTAAAGAAATTTATCTTTGAAAATTTTCTTCAAAAAAATTCTTAAATTCTATGAATTTTGTAAGACAAATTTTGCACCTTTTATAAACATTTTTGAAACAACGAATGAAACACAAAAAAAAGGATTTTCTTTATTTTCTTTCTTCATAGAGTGAAACAAACAACGAAAAGTGACGTGCCAATAAAAATCCTTTTTTACTATCAGTTAATGACAATCATAAGACCACATGACTATAATACCACTACTTGTGACCCTGATGACGATCACCATTCACCACTATCAAAAATTAGGGAAAATTAGGGTGAAGTTCCGGGCAAAGTTGTGAAATTCTTCCTGAAATTTCTCCCTAATGCTAGTATGATCAATAATGAAGATTTAGCAATTTTTTAGAAATTTTCTATTCATTTTTGTATTATCACAATATTTGAAAAAATTTTTCTTTTTTTATTGCTTGCACGAACATTTTTTTATTTTATCTTTTTCTTTTTTTTTAATTGCGACGGATCTAAATTCCGGAGTCCGGAGTTTATTTGATATGTAAGAATAAAAATATTAAAATATTTAATTTAAAAAAAATAAAAAATAAAATAACAATATGTAAATAAATGATAAAATGACAATGTACAAATAAATAACAGGATATAAATAAAAGATAAGATACAATAAATGCAATAAATGTAATATAAACTAGTAGAACGTGAAACATTCCAATATGTATTGTGCACTATTTATGAAACTAATAACTGTATTTAGTTATACAGTTGACCCCCTTTATAGTCACCCCAGATATAGTCACATCCCCCCTTATAAGCACATTTACATTACTAATAAGCTTATTAAAAAAAACCCCTATTTAGTCTCATCATATAGTATTTTTATAATCACACCAATTGTTTTTGGTCCCGAGGGGTGTGACTATATAGGGATTTGATTGTATACACTACGCATGTAAAAAACAAGAAGTAATATTAATATTAATAAAAAACATCCTGATCTTAATAAATGTTCAATAATTAATTTTCTGATAAATAAAGGATTGGGAGTTAAATAAATATAAACTAAATAATATCCATCATGTTTTTTACAATGTTCGATAAAATATTTAACCTTAGAATCTGTCATCCATGATGGAAAAGCTTCATAAATAACCCCTCGTTCTCCATTTGCATTTATATGATTTACTCGTCCTGTTATAAATTTTACGTGCGGTACTTTATTAGAATGACAATTTCTGATCGTTTGTATAACGACATCTTTTGCTTGTTCACTTGTAAGATAGAGCAAATCAATTTCAACTTCTCTCACTGGATAATAACAGTCCGTCATTTTTTGTTGACTTTTGTTGAATGGGTTGGAGTTTTCTTTCTTTTTTTTTTTTTAAAAAAAAAAAATTGCAATAATTTTCAATTTTTAAATTTATTCCAAATTATTTTGATAAATTTCTAGAAATTTTCGTAACGATAATACAAGAAAATTTAATCTTTTTATGAACAAATCTAAAATGACGATCAGCAAAAAAAAAACTAAACCGTAAAAGAGGAATAATACTTTTTATCATGCATGAGCTTTATTTATAGGAATGAAACTCTTAAAAAAACAAAAGCGGCGTGATGATCTTTGAACAATAGTTTCGAATTTTGACGATCGTTTCAGAAACTCAATATGCAAATGATGCGCAACAGTAAAAATAAACAAAGTTTATTTCACACACAATAACTTTATAATTTTCAAACATTTATTCATTTTGTACGTGCGTGCTAAACGTGCTATATTATTCGTATTAATGTACTCTGTTAAATGTATCAGAAATAATAGTTGAATGAAAATTTATAAAACAAAATCTTCAAAAAGGAAAAAAAAAGAGATATTGATAATAAAACTTGGTTTGAATAAAACTTTTTACGTTTTAATGTACGTATTATCTTAAAAATAAATTTTTTTCTTAATTGTTATAAAATAATTTTATACTATAAATAAGTTCTAGTTATATATTATATAATACAAGTGTATCATATTAGCTCCTGTTCAATTCCGGTCGGTTCGATTCTTTCGGTCATATACATTCTATATAGACATTCTATTGATGAAACTGAAAATAAAAATTTCATGGGCCAAAACTCAAAAGGTTGTGTTGATATTTCATGTGTTACACAAAAAATCAGACAAACAAACCCTAGTCGAAAAAATGCAACCGACCGGAATTGGAAGGATTAATTGATCTATTTTTGTAATGAGATTCTTTAATTGTATCTATTAGGGAAACGGTTACCCTTTACGAGGTCCGGATCTTATCACATTGGAAATGATTATACAATAATATGAAAGGTCAAAGATAAAAAAAGCAAACTGTCATATTTAATTTTTGATTTAGTATTTCGCATTTGTTGTACAAATAATTTATTTTGTTTTATATTTTGTCTATAAAATTTTACAAAATAATAAATTCTATCTATTTGGGTGCGTTGAAAAATTTTATATTGTAGATTTTCCAAAAATAAAAATGAAACAAAAAAATATTCATTGATCAAAAAGCTAAAAATATCTAACACGAAAAAGGTAATTCAATCAATAACACATTTGTAATATATGAAGAACCAATTATATATCAGACTCAAAGGACATGCGGGCGGACATTTCCTCATCTAAAACACATAATGACAGTCCTTTTCTACACTCCGGACTAATCAAACGTTTTGCGGTTTTACGCTGAAGATTATGAAAATCTGCTTCGTTGTTATTAATTTGATTAATATGTTTTTTAAGAAATTGCAAGGATTAAAAAAACGTTTTTAAAATAATATAAAAAGGACTAAAAAATTTCAAAAGATCTTGCGCTAAACAGTATTGGAAGATAAAGAAAGTTATCTTCAAAACAATTCTTAAGATTCTAGAAGTTTGTAATTTGAAACAGCGAGTGAAACACAAAAAATAGGATTAAACAATACATATTTTAAGAATTGAAACGACGACGATCTTTACCCGTATCAGTTAATAACATCATAACATACCACATGATTATATAAATTAAAATATCACCCGCATGGAGTTTCGGGTAGAGTTAAAAATGTGAAATTAAATGATCATCATTTAGCAATTTTCATTGATAAATTTCGCAGTTTATTTGATAATAATAAAAAAAATATTTGATTTTTAAAAAAATAAATAAAATAACAAGATGCAAATAAAATGTATGATAAGATAAAATAAATGATAAGATATAAATACAAGATATAAATAAATAAAAATAAAAGACATAAAAACTAGTAGAACATGAAACATATGTAAAAATCTAGTATTAATTGTTAGTGTTTGAATACGTTATTTTATAATAATCCAAATAATCGCCCAATGAACTTGATAATAAGTTATAACTAATATCTGATATGTATAAAATAAAAATTACTACTAATACTACTAATAATAATAAAACTAAAAATGATAATAATGCACATGATTTATTAGCACACGCTCCTTTATTCGAAGAATTAAGATAAACTAAATAATATCCATCATATATTTCATAATCTTGGACCAAATATTTAATTTCAGAGTCTCTCATCCACGATGGAAATTTTTCATAAAGAACCCCTCGTTCTCCAGTTGAGTTTATATGATTTCCTCGTCCTGTTATAAATTTTACGCAGAGTATTTTTCTAGAATGAGATTTTTTAACAGAGTTTATAACGAGACGTCTTGCGTTTTCACGTGTAAGATAGTGCAAATCAACAACTTCTTGCTCCAATGAATCATAGTACATATTGAATAAGTTGGAGTTTATTTTTAAAAAAAATAATTGTCAATTTTTAAATTATTTCAAGAGCGTTCTTTTTGATAAATTTCTTGAAATTTTCATAAGAAAATTTAACCTTTTTATAAACAATCTAAAACGACGATCAGCAAAAAAAAACTAAACCGTAAAAGAGAAATAAAGCTCATCATGCATGAGGTTTATTTATAGGGAATGAAACCCTTAAAAAAACAAAGACCGAAAAAATTGTCGTGATGATGATCTTTAACAATTGTTTCGAATAATTGATGATCAAACTATGAAATTTAAATATGCGCAATAGCAAAAACAAAGTTTATTACACAAATAGCTTTGTTGAATGTGCCATAGCAAATAGTTGATGAAAATTTATAAAACAAATCTGCAAAAGGAAGAAAGGAAACCTTGGTAACAAAACTTGTTTTGAATAAATTAATTATATACTTTTTACGCCTTAATGTATAACCTTATAACAATTAAGAAAGAAAAAAAAAACATTTTATAAGTAATTTTATATATAGGATCAAAATATGGGTAAATAAGTTTCTCATATTAGCCTTGTTGTTCAATTCTGGTCGGTTGCACTTTTCGGTCATATACAAAATAGACCACCAAAAATTTTTGGGTCAAAAGGTCGGATATCCCATGTGGGATAATTTTACCACACCACCTCGCGTGTTACGAATATTAATAGTGTTGGTTACACTGCATAAAGTGTGTGACATTTTATGCGAGTGACAAATAGAGATCAGACCACAAAAAATTTTTAAACAACGCGGCCGCCACAAAGTCATCACCTGTACTACGCGAGGTGGTAAGATTTACCTCCCATGTGTTACACAAAAAATCAGACAAACAAAATGAAAAATGCAACCGACCGGAATTGAAAGGATGAATTTAATAATTGATATATTTTTGTAATAAGATTCTTTGATTGTATCTATTAGGGAAACGGTAACCGTTACGAAGTCCGGAGCTTATCACGTTGGAAATGATATGAGAGGTCTAAGATAAAAAAGCAAACTGACATATTTAATTTATTTAATTAACTTTATTTTTGATTTACTTCACATTTGTTGTACAAATAATTTATTTTTGTTTTATATTTGCTATAAAATTTTACAAAAATAATAAAAATTCTATCTATTTGGGTGTGTTGAAAAAAATTTATATCAAAGATTTTCAAAATAATCATTGATCAAAAAGTTAAAAATATCTAGCTAACACGAAAGAGGTAGTTCAATCATTAACACATTTGAAATCGGACTCAAAGGACATGCGGGCGTATAATGGACATTTTTTGTAATATCTCATCTAAAACATATATGTCAGTCCTTTGCTACGCTCCGGACTAATAAAACGTTTTGCGGTTATACACCAAAGATTTACTCCAACTTAATTCAATGGCATTGTTGTTATCAATTTGATTAATATATTTTTTTAAGAAATTGCAAGGATTAAAAAAATGTTTTTAAAATAATATAAAAGGACTAAAAAATTTTCAAAAAATCTTGCGCTAACAGTATTGGAAGATAAAGTAAGTTATCTTCAAAAAAATTCTTAAGATTCTTGATTTGAAACAGTGAGTGAAACACAAAAAATAGGATTTCTTTCACAAACAATACATATTTTAAGAATTAAAACGATGACGATCTTTATCCTATCAGTTACAACTATCGGGTAGAGTTATCATCACTGGTGAGATTTAGCAATTTTCATATAAATTTCGCAGTTTATTTGATATGTAATATTTAATTTTAAAAAATAAATAAATAACAAGATGTAAATAAATGTATGATAAGATAAAAATAAATGACAAGATATAAATACAAGATAAAATAAATAAAAATAAAAGACATATAAACTAGTAGAACATGAAACATATGCATAAATCTAGTATGTATTATGAATCTTTAAATACGTTATTTTAAGATCCATTAAATAATCGCTCATTAAACTTAATTCTGAATCAATTATAACTAATAAGTATAAAATAATAATAATTGCTAATAATAATAAAACTAACAATGATATTTCTTTGAATGCGCGTACAAAGAAATCAAGATAAACTATATAAAATCCATCACATGGATCATAATCTTTGACCAAATGTTTAATTTCAGTGTCTAGCATCCACGATGGAAATTCTTCATAAAGAACCCCTCGTTCTCCAGTTGCATTTATATGATTTTCTCGTTCTGTTACAAATTTTACGTAGGGTATGCATTTAGAATGACTATCTCTGATCATTTCTATAGCGATAAGTCTTGCTTCTTCACGTGTAAGATTGTGCAAATCAACTTCATAGTACGCCATTTTTTGTTGACTTTTTAATATTGAATAAATTGAAGTTTCTTTTAATAAAAATCGCAACAATTTCAATTTTTAAATTATTTCAAGAGCGTTCTTTAAAAGTTATTTTGATAAATTTCTTGAAATTTTCATAATACAAGAAAAATTTAACCTTTTTATAAACAATCATAACGACGATCGGCAAAAAAAACTAAACCGTAAAAGAGAAATAGAGCTCATCATGCATGAGCTTTATTTATAGGGAATGAAACCCTTAAAAAAACAAAGACCGAAAAAATTGGCGTGATGATCTTTAACAATTGTTTCGAATTTTTGATGACCCGTTTTAGAAACTATGAAATTTAACATGCAAGTGATACGTAATTGCAAAAACAAAGTTTATTACACACACAAATAGCTTTGTTAAATGTGCCAGAGTAAATAGTTGATGAAAAATTTATAAAAGAAATCTGCAAAAGGAAGAAAGGGACCTTGATAACAAAACTTGTTTTGAATAAATTAATTATATACTTTTTACGCTTTAATGTATAAATGAACCTTATAACAATTAAACGTTTTATAGGTAATTTTATATGTAAGATCAAAATATGCGTAAATAAATTCTCATATTAGCCTTGTTGTTCAATTCTGGTCGGTCGCATTTTTCGGTCATATACAAAGTAAACCATTCTATTGGCGAAATTAAATTTTTGGGTCAAAAAGGTCTGATATTACGCGAAAGATTTACTCCAACTTAATTCAATGACATTGCTGTATCAATTTGATTAATATGTTTTTAAGAAATTGCAAGGATTAAAAAAATGTTTTTAAAATAATATAAAAGGACTAAAATATTTTCAAAAATCTTGCGCTAATAGTATTGAAAGATAAAAGAAAGTTATCTTCAAACAAATTCTTGAAGTTTGTAATTTGAAACAGCGAGTGAAACAAAAAATAGGATGTCTTTTTCTCAAACAATAGTATTGAAACGACGACGATCTTTATCCGTATTAGTTAATAACATCATAACATACCACATGACTATCATATAAATTAAAATATCACCCGCATGGAGTAAAAATGTGACATCACTGGCAATTTTCATATCACGACCTGATAAATTTCGCAGTTTATTTGATATGTAATAACAAAAAAAAAAAAAAAATATTTAATTTTTAAAAAAATAAATAAAATAACAAGATGTAAATAAATGTATGATAAGATAAAAACCACAACTATCACACTGGTGAGATTTAGCAATTTCATATCACAACCTGATAAGTTTCGCAGTTTATTTGATATGTAATAACAAAGAAAAAAAAAAATATTTAATTTTTAAAAAAATAAATAAAATAACAAGATGTAAATAAATGTATGATATAAAGATAAAAATAAATGACAAGATATAAATACAAGATATAAATAAATAAAATAAAAGAAATATAAACTAGTAGAACATGAAACATATGTAAAAATCTAGTATGAATCGTTAGTGTTTGAATACGTTATTTTATAATCCAAATAATCGCTCATTGAACTTAAAGTCGAATAAGTTACAACTAATATGTATAAAATATAAGTAAATATTAATAATAATAAAACTAAAAATGATAATAATGCACATAATTGTTTGAATGAAGGAGCATGTGCTAATAAATCAAGATAAACTAAATAATATCCATTACATGGATCATAATCTTGGACCAAACGTTCAATCTCAGAGTCTAGCATCCACGATGGAAATTCTTCATAAAGAACCCCTCGTTCTCCAGTTGCATTTATATGATTTCCTCGTCCTGTTATAAATTTTACGCAGGGTATGCATCTAGAATGACAATCTCTGATCTTTTGTATAACGACAAGTCTTGCGCGTTCACGTGTAAGATAGTGCAAATCAACAACTTCTTGTTCCAATGAATCATAGTACGACATTTTTTGTTAACTTTTGAATATTGAATAAGTTGGAGTTAATTTAAAAAAAAAATAATTGCAATAATTTTTAATTTTTAAATTATTTCAAGGGCGTTCTTTAAGTTATTTTGATAAATTTCTTGCAATTTTCATAATTAAAATTTAACCTTTTTATAAACAATCTAAACGACGATCGGCAAAAATGCTCATCATGCATGAGCTTTATTTATAGGGAATGAAACCCTTAAAAAAACAAAGACCGAAAAAATTGTCGTGATGATGATCTTTAACAATTGTTTCGAATTTTTGGTCAACTATGAAATTTAAACACGTAATAGCAAAAACAAAGTTTATTACACACACAAATAGCTTTGTTAAATATACCAGAGCAAATAGTTGATGAAAATTTATAAACAAAATCTGCAAAAAGGAAGAAAGGGACCTTGATAGCAAAACTTGTTTGAAATAAATTAATTACATACTTTTACGCCTTAATATATATAAGAATGTTAGAACAAATTGAAAATATGCGTAAATAAATTCTAGTTATATACTGTATAGTATACAACTGTGTCATATTAGCCTTGTCGGTTGCATTTTTCGGTCATGTACAAAATAAACCCAAAAAATTTTTGGGTCAAAAGGTCTGATATTCCGTGTGTTACACAAAAAAAGACAAACAAAATGAAAACCCAAGAATTGAAAGGATAAATTTAATGATTGATGATATATTTTTGTAATGATATTCTTTGATTGTATCTATTAGGGAAACGGTAACTGTAAGTCCGATCACGTTGGAAATGATACAATAAAGTCAAACAAAGATAAAAAAAGCAAGCTGATATATTTAATTCACTTTATTTTTGATTCACTTTAATCTATTTCACATTTTTTTTGTAAATTTGTACAAATAATTTATTTTGTTTCATATTTGCTATAAAATTTTACAAAAATAATAAAAATTCTATCTGTTTGGGTGCGTTAAAAAAAATTTTACATATTTTTACATCAAAGATTTTCAAAATATAAAATGAAACAAAAAAAAACTTAATTTGAAACAGAGAGTCACTGCGAGTGAAACACAAAAATAAGATTTTCTTTAATTTCTTTCTTTCTTTCTCAAACCGTACAATATTAAGAATTGAAACAACGAAAAAATGACGTGACGTCGTGACGATCTTCATCTTAATATACCACATGACTAATTATCCCCACTATCAAAATTAGGGAGGAGTTCTGACAAATTGTTGTCTGAAATTTCTCGCTAATGCTGATCATGATCATCACTGGTGAGATTTCTATCCTTCGGATCTACTATTTGATATGTAATAATAAAAAAAAAATATTTAAATAATAAATGACAAGATATAAATACAAGATATAAATAAATAACAAGACGTAAATAAAATACAAAGATGAAACATACGAGTAAAAAATATGGAATTTTTATAGGAAAAGTTTAAATAAAAGCTTATAAAGTGAATGATATTTATGGTATGTGATAATTATTAAACGCATGATCGAACGATAACACTTTGAGCTACTATCGGGACCTTCATTAATTGGTTGGCCACTACGTGGCCCATTTATTTCATTATTTTACAGTTAGACCCCTATATAGTCACACCCTATATAGTCACACCCATCCATTTTTACAGAAACCGACTTAAAACATAATAAAAAAAATCTTTTCATATCAAATATTTTAACATACATATTATTTTTATTAATGATTAAACTTCTTTACAGTCACTTTTCTGATTTGTTGTAGATCTTCAATATGGAATTTTACACAAATTTTGACATATTAATTGTAACACACCATACAAAAATATGTAATTTCGCCACTTCAAATAACAAAAACTAACCAACCAAATTGTATATTATCAGCACAGAGGTTCGTGATTACAGTCACTCCACTGTATTAATCAATACTTTTGGCCAAACCAACCTGGTGGTCTAACTGTATAAATATAAAGATATATCTATGTATAAAATACAAGTAAATATTATAATTACTAATAAAATATAAATAAATATTAATAATAATAAAAGTGATAATAATGTTAATGAACATCCAAAAATTAATCTTCTGAATAATGAAGGAGCATGATTTAAATCAAGATAAACTAAATAATAACCATCATATTTTTGACATTGTTCAATTAAGTGTCTAATCTCATTATCTAACATCCATGATGGAAAATCTTCATAAAGAACTTCTCGTTCCCCGGTTGCATTCACATGGTTTCCCCGTCTTGTTATAAATTTTACGCAGGGTATTTTTCTAAAATGACAATCTTTGATCGTTTGTATAACGAGAAGTTTTGTACGATAATGTAAATCAACTTCAACTTCAGCTTCTTTCAATGAATAATAATAATATGACATTTTTTTGTTAACTTTTAAATATTGAATAAGTTGGAGTTTTAAAAAAAAATTAATTTTTAAATTATTTTCAGTAAAAAGTTATTTTGACAAATTTCTTGAAATATTTATTTTTATGAGAAAAAATTTGATCTTTTTATGAACAATCTAAAATGACGCTCATCATTCCTATAAAAAATTTTATCCGTTCGTAAAAATGAGCCTTTCCCGGATCCATTCACGGAAAATGTAAATTATTCGATAAATCCCGTGATATAAGGTTATTAAATCCGGAAATATGAGCCTTTTACGGAAAAAAAGATGAAAAAAAGTCGATCCATGTTTTTTATATTCCCATGAGCTCTATTTATGGGGAATAAAAGACCGAAAATTAGCGTGATGATCTTCGAATAATCGTTTTAAATTTTGATGATCCGTTTCAGAAATTTCATATTAAAATAATTTAAACATGTGACAACAAAAAACATTCATTTCCAATATTAATGTACTTTATTTATTAAATATGCCAAGCAAAAAAGTTGTATGAAACAAAATCTGCAAAAGGAAAACAAGAAATCTTGATAACAAAAATTTTGTAATAAATCACTTTTTATATAACCATATAATGAAAAAAATTTTATTGTATTATTATGAATTTAGTATGAGAGAATAAATTAAAGACGATCAAAATGAAGACGATCAAAATATGCACAAATGAACAAAAGAAAAGGGATCTACATTATATAGTACAGTTAAATAATCATGGTGTATCAGGTTTGTACAATTTATCAAGACCAATCACTAGAATCACTAGAACCGGATGACATTCGCATAAGTTAATATATATAATAATAATAATAAAGATATAATGAAAATATCACAAATAATAAAAATAATAATAAAATTATAATAATAATTAATGATTTATATGAACGAGATACATAATCTAAATTAATATAAACTAAATAATATCCATTATATGGTTCAAAATCTTGTACCAAATGTTCAATTTCAGTACCTATTACACATGATGGAAAAGCTTTATGAAGAACTCCTCGCTCTCCATTTGAATTTATATTATGATTTCCTTTTTCTGTTATAAATTTTATACAGGATATTTTTCTAGAATGAGATTTTTTAACAGATTTTATAACGAGACGTTTTGCGGATTTGCGGTTAAGTTTATGAAGATCAATTTCAGTTAATGTATTGGATAACATTATTATTATTGATTATTGGTTAATTTGTTATTTTCTTTTAATTATTAATATTTGAAATTGAAAAAATTATGTCGAAGTAAAATCAATTTCCACATTATTTATAAATGATTTGAAATAATACAAATATTACGGACAAAAAGGTATAATACGTATAATACGTATATATATTTCTATTTTAATAAAAGTGTTTTCCTTTCTTGTTTTACGATCACTTTCATTGACAATCTCGTATCACAAAAAACGTCATACCTTGTAATCTTTGTTTGGCTACAAAATCAATGAATGAAATCATTGATAGTCAAATTTGGTTGATTGTTAAACCGGAAATCCGGAACTACGGAATATAAGATACCCTATTTTCTTTTTTTACATTGGTGTTTTAAAAGACTTATTAAGTATAAATGTTTACTTTTACAATGAACTTATTTAATAATCATCAATTTTTATTTCTCTTTTAATTCATGAATAAACAAAAAAAAATTTTATTTATATTTCCTCTTTTTATTTTTTATTCTTTGTATAAAATAAACTTAATGAAATGCAAATACTTAATAAACAGGCGCATGAACTAAAATAATAGACTGTTATATAACAATCGGTTCCTGTACATTCATTCCTTTTATGTTGATCATTATTATAACCGAACAATAAATTAAATAGTTGCCCTCCAAAAGCCGGAATCTATAAAATAAAATATGTTATTAATTTGTATGAATTTTGTATGAATTTGTATGTAAAATAAAATTAATAATAAAGTAAATATTTACGCATGCAATCATTCCCCTAAAAATTTTTAAAAAAAAATTTCGATTAGAATTTTATATTTTAAATATTGTTTCTATTGTTTCTCTACTTTTATATTTAACTTACCAATTAGATCCAAATCTTTTAGTTCCAAACCATTCACTAACGATTATAGGAGTAATGGAATATAAATTTCCAAATCCAACTCCAACAAATATTGTAACTATCAATAATTTATCCAAATCATCAACATAAAATAATATTAATAATTGAGCCAAAAATATCCAAACTCCGGATAATATAAAAAAGAATGATCTAGGTATTTTAAATAATAATCTTGCCATATCCGATATAAATCCGATGGATAATCTTCCTAAACAAGAGAAAATAGATAGAATGAATACGTGCGTATTTTGTAATTTATAAATTGGTGGTAAAGTAGAAGAAGAATGTGAAGAATATAATGATTCGATTATCGTTCCAACATTATTTATATACATCAATCCCGCACCAGAAAAAAAAAACATTGTTATTGCTAATAATTTTGCATCAATATTATTAATAAAATCCCATCCACCAATATCAATTTCTTCGTTAATTTTATTTTGTAATAATGGTGTATCTTCAAATTTATCATTTTGTTTTGTGCTACAAGAAGATGAATTTCCTTCTTCGAGTGTTACAACGGTAGTATCCTGATTTATTGATGGTGGTACTACGACTAAAAACCAACTTCCAATAAATATACATAATCCTGTACTTATGGCTAAAAATAGTAAGAAATGATAATTATCATTCTTAAACCACAAACTATTTATTTCTGAATATATTGCTGCTGATAATCCGGATAACGCAATCGGTGCCCCGAGTGATATTCCTCTGAATGATGTAATGTTTTTTGCCTAATTATCAAAAAAAAAAAAATTTCATTTCACGAGCGTTATTAAAATTTCTTATCATTTTTGACCAAAAAAGAATCCAATACATTTTTGACAAAAAAAGGATCCATTATTATTTTGCCAAAAAATGAATCCATTATCATTTTTATTTTTTTTAAAAAATATAAATCAAAGGCACTCACGACTATTACGAGACTTGACATTAAACCTGTAAAAAAAAAAGAAAAAGAAAAATTAATCAAAAATGAGCGACGACAATCAATGCAAGCAAACACAAAAATTTACCTGCAGCTGACGCCATTCCTGCTAAAAACATGTAAAAAGCACATAATAAGAATGATGGCCTAAGATTTCCTTCATAAGTCATTGCAAGGCAAAAGTATCCAATGAATATAATAAAAGCAGCAAAAAATGGTCTACATATAAAAAGATAACCATTAAATCACGTGATTATGTGACGATTATGTGACATTAATTAATGAAATTATCAAATACCTTCTTCCTCCAAAATTATCAGCTATATAACCAAAAATTGGTTTACCAAGATAAACACCATAATTTGCAGCACTTCCAATTGTATTTATTTGAATAGAACTAAAATTTAATCGTTCTGCCAATGTTGTGCTATACGCGGAGAAAAGATATTGTGTACCACATACTGAAGATATTAAAAGTGCTGCTATAAAACTTAATGTTAGTTTTATTACTCGTAAATTCATTTTATTTCTTGCTAAACTTGAGCGATTAAAAATGAATCTAAAAGATCGATCGATTAATTATTATTTAAATTATAATTAGGGTAAAAATATGATTAAAATTTTGTTTTTTTTTACAAGCGATTAAAAAGTGAATGATCGAACAGATTATTATAATTTTAAGAAAAAAGGGTGAAGTATATGATTTAAATTTTGTTCTTTTTATAATAAAATCAATAAAACAATTATAATTATTAAAAAAAAACTTACTGCAATCATAATAATTAGAAAAAAAAAATAAAATAGAATAACGTTTAAAACGATGCATATTTATGATTTTCACCTGTGATAGCCTCGTCAATAATCCTGTAAGGGGATGATCGACATTATCTGAATGGGATGTGAATACGGAGCTTCATTAATGAATAAGGAGTTTCATTAAACTCTAATAAATAGAAATGTATGAACACAATAATTAATTTGTATTAGTGATTATTATATGGTAATATGACCATTAATGTGATCGATAACACAATATTACTCCGATATTTCGAAAATGAACACAAAATAAAACATTCCGGTTTCCAGAACATAGATCGACATATTTCATGATGCTTTTTTGATCAATGGTTAATAAATCCACAACAATTGCGTCATATCAAATATCGAAAATAAGAAATTTGTATGAATTTGACTTTACATTATAACTATGAAAACACTAATTAGGTTATTCACCAAACTTATTTGTTTTACTTGTCTATCTCTTGTTCAAAGAGGGGAATTGAGAGGTAAATTACCGTAGTACAGACTTATCGTAATAGATTACTTGGATATCGGTATACCATAAGCGGCAAAGTGATCGACTTGATTCCGGTGCGTGGTGTTGATTTGATGCTAGCGCAGGTCAAGTACGGTACATTTGCCCATAAGTGATTAGTGAACTACATTGATCGCTATGATGTGCTTGTTACGCAGAAATATCATTTAGATTAGGCCGTTCCAACATGGTTGTTTGTTTAACGTACCCCACCCCTTCTATTTTTTTAAAAATCTAAATTTTGGTATATAGTAATAACACATATCAGTTATGTTTAAATGCCCCCTTAAATGGGTCTCTGAATTTTCCCGAATTTTCCCAAAATTCTTAAAATTTTATTATGTTCATTTCATTTAGTTTATTTGGTGAAACCCCTTTCCCCAAGCTTTTCAGAAAATCTGGACGTTAAACCTGAAACAATCAAGTTGGATAGATCGGCCATAGTACTACACACTATAAAAATTAATGGTCACGGGTCGATGGTGTCATAGACACCCAATAAAAATCGCAAATTTTAGTTTTATCGTGTCCATCTTTTTTTTTGCTCCGAACTCACAATGGATTCTGCTCCTAGTAGTTCTTAGTAGTGCTTCGATCCGTAGCGGTTTTATCCGGATTTTCATCCGGATTGAATTTCATTAAATTTCGCTGGCACTATGAGTTTGGCCAGAATTAGTATAAATTTTTGGGATAATAATACTTTAATGTTGATTTAAATTATAGTCTGTTTAAATCTGAAATTCATAATCTTTCTCAGCCATAATCGTCACATGAAATTATTCAAGTTTTCATCCGGATCGAAGCACTACCCTATAAAAAATTTTATCCGTTATTTCTGTAAAAACTCCGTAAAAATGGGCCTTTCACGGATCCATTCACGGAAAATGTAAATAATTCGATAAATTCCGGGATATAAGGTTATTAATTCCGGAAATATGAGCCTTTTACGGAAAAAAGACGGAATATAAAAACGGATAGACTTTTTTTACAGGGCTAGTTCTTAGAATAACCCATCCTTGAACAAAGATAACTAATAATAGGAAGTAAAAAGTAATATATGTATATCTTTAATTTATAATCGTTTTAGTAGTTTTAAAGTTTTAAGTCTTAGTCAACAATATCGTTTCCTAATTATTCCTTATAGTTATTTCTTTATTTATTATTATTGTATACAATCATTATTTATTTAGTAAAGCATACATTTATTATTCACATTACATTCTATAAAATTATACTGTTAGAATCACATGCTAAAGCCGGAAGTGATGTTAACACTATCATCTCATTTCGTAGAAAAATCTTTTAGAGAAGATCGTAGAAAATTGTTTTTTCGCGACTTTTGTTTAAAATGTTAAAATTATTATATAAAAATATTTTCGATTATGTTTATAAAATGTTAATTCGTTAGAACGTTAGAAATTGACATTAAGGCGACTGATCTAAAATAAAGATAGTTTTTGAAAAAAAAAATATTTATACCAAATTTTTTTTTTTTTTTTTTTAAAAAATCTAATCGTTTTTTATTATTTTTAACATACCGCATTTTTTTATAGCAATATGGAACACAAAATCATACGCCGCCGTTAGATTCGGAGCACACTGCAGACTTTTACCGAGTTTTACCAAGTAAGAGATAAAATGCCAAGTATGTAATTATTAATTTTCGAATATTAACAAACCGTAAGACCATCATATTGGCACCAATAGCCAAAACGTCCAAAGGTTGACATCGCCATAGGAGGACCAAGAGAACTCTGTTTAGAATATTTTTGCGGAACAATAACCTATCCACTTATCTATCTCCATAAAAAAGTTAACGTATTTTATTCCGTAAATGCAACATATTCTCGGAATTTAATTATAAAAAATTATTATTCGGTATAAATATTCGGGTCAAATTGTTTAATGACAAAAGATCGCAACAACGAATCAATTAAATAAATGGATAAATCATCTTTTTTTTAAAAAAAATCGTGTTGTTTAGAAAATATACTGTATGGGTCTAAACACTTGCGTGGTTTATTGATCATTTTTTTTTTCCAATAATTAATAATATCTATATGCGTCGGTTTATATTATTACAGTGAACGTAACAGTTAAGCCAATAATATTAGTTATATTATTAAATAAACATCATTAACACGCTATAATGATTATATTTAAATTAAATAATAAATTGATTACTAGTTAGTTGTATTAGTCAGAAATTTCAAAGTCGACTGATTAAAAGTACTTGTCGTCGGAATTAATTACGGCATATGAATCCGTAAATTTATATTGATGATTTGTTAGATATTTAAATGGTAAAATCCATATTTCGTAATGCCGTAATTTCAATTCGGCAATTCCGACGGCATTTATAGTCGCAATCTATTAAATACAAAAAAAATTAAGAATTATCAACTAATTTAAAAAAAAAATTTGAAGCTTTATTACTTTCTTCATTATCGACATATGGAGTAATAATGGATTTAATGTTCTTCTAGTATATATAGAAGTTGAAATGTTTGGCAATTCTTTATCAGCTTCCTTAAATGTTTCTTTAATATCTTTTCCTCTATAACCAAGTTTCTTCATTTTATAATTTCTCATACATAGAATAATGCCAAAAATTACACCAAAACTATAATATCTCCGTTCAAGACTTTTGACCTTATATCGTCGATTTTTGTTCATTTGCTAGTCCAGATAATTCAAAGTAATAAAAATATGGTATCCGGACTTTTCGCTGAAGTCCTTTTCACCGAAATCCATTTCGCCGAGGCAATTTCACCGAAGGGATATTTCACCGAAGTACAGTCGCGTCGGAAAGTATCGCCCGATTCAAATTTTATAGTAAAACATATAAAAAATTGAAAATTTCAGAAGGCTATATACATATTCAACTTTCTTTTAATAACCATTTCTAAATTTTATATCATTTTAAAGCCAATACCATATTCTTTGAAATATTGATGTTTGAATTTTGGGAAAGTTAAAATGCAAGAGCTATTATTTATAAGGTAAAAAAGTTTTTTTTTATATGTTTTAGATCCGAAAAATAAAATTTATATATAAAAATGAGCTGCATATATATTTATATTTCTTTTATTAATTATTTCTAAATTTTATATCACTATAAAGCCAATATAATATTCTTTAAAATAACAATATTTGAACCTTGGGAAGGTTAAAATGCAAGAGCTGTTTTAATCTTAAAACTCAGTATTCATTTTTTATATGTAATTTACTATGTAATAGTGAATCGGGCGATACTTTCCGACGCGACTGTACATTTCGCCGAAATGCCATTTCCTAAGTGGACATTTCGCTGAATGGCCATTTTACCGAAACCCATTTCACCGAAACCAGTTCACCAGGACATTTCGCCGAAATTGTGGAATTTTTTAAAATTTTTTCTTTTTTTTGAGAAAATAAACGAATTATTTAATACATTATATTAAGTCATGTTTATTTTAATAAAAAAGATAACAAAGTCATCATAAAATGAAAATGAAATAGTTTAGAGGGAATTTGTACTTTGAGCATTTTTTATTTTCTTTGTATCGAATTGTTAATTATCAAGGAAACATTTATCTGTTATAAGTTAATCACTAAACATTTTCTGCGAAATGTCCTTCGACGAAATGGACGATTCAGGAGAAAAGGATTTGATGAAATGTCCACTCGATGACATCACATTCGGTGAAATATTCCTTCAGCAAAACTTCCCTTCGGCGAAATGGTTTTCGGCAAAATGAAATTCGGCGAAACGTACCGTAACCAAATTTTATTCCGCCATCTTTAAAACAAATTCCATCATCGTCCATCATCGTATTTTAAGCTATAATTTGCAAATAAAATTTTTTAAACAAAAATATTTTAATAATTCTTGATATTAAACAATAGAAACCAATAAAGTGAAACATCATCATATTAGAAATAATTTAATATAGAATTAAAACGTAATACATTTAAATATTTGTGATATATATTCGTCCATTTTAACCTTTTCAAAGCAAAATTTCATAGGTCCATCATTATTTCACCAATTTCCTTTATATCTTGTATATCTGTAAATCTATAAAATGGTCGAAATCTTGATTATATCTTCAAATAATACGAAAATTATTTAAAGCTTTTACCGAAGAATAAAAAAAAAATGTGACCCATTAGAGTTAATAAGTATGGACTAGTGGAAATCCCGATATTGATAAGTTTATAAAGGATACAATCATGCATTATGAAGATTATGAAGGGTATTTAATTTACTAAATTAGTTCTCGTTGGGTTAATGTATTATGAATATGACTAACCAAAAGTAGACCGATTTTTTTTCGGATATATTTTTTTCCGATGTATTTTACTGCATTATGATAATTATTGATTATTAAATAAATAAATATTGTGATATCGATATTCATGTGTTTCTCATAAAATAAGATTTTAATCGTTGTACAGTCGGTGTATTTAAAATAAATTATTCGTAAAAATAAAAAAATTTGATATAATCGGTTTTTACCATAACAATTCTTTTAGAATTTAGATTTTTTATAAATATGGAAAAAGAATTTTTCCGTTAAAAATTAAGAAGTAACAAATTTTCTATTAATAATTAAAGAAAGAATCTGGAAACTGTAAAGAGTATTCATAAATAAAGAACATCAAAATATTACACATTTATGATGTAATTTTATAAAATGACTTGACTATAAATAGGTTGCTTCTTCCTTGGCGGGTAATCTTCTTTAATTTGTTATACAATACAAAACGTAAATAAATATCTTTGTTATCAGAACAAGACAAGGTGTGAATTTATAATTTATAATTGGCGCAGCAGACTCGTGAAAACAACGATTTATATAAATAAGTCTTTATTTGTTACACTCGAAAAAAAAAAAGTACTTACAATACAATATGATCATTTGATAAAAGTTGGATTGTCCATGCAATGCAACGTGATGTGAATTATTTTCTTAGAAAAGTAGAAAAAAAGAAAAAAAGAAGAAAAGAAGAAAAACAGAAAAAAAATAAAAAAAAAAAATATTATGACTATTATAATTTTGCAAAAAAATCGAAAAAAAAAGCTTGATATTCGGATAAAATCTAAATAATTTGAAATTTTTTAAAATTTTTATCTTAAAAAAACATCTTAAATGAATATAGAATTCAATTGGATACAATATTAAAACAATGTACAATGTAATAGATACAATATCAAATAAAAATGTAACAATATAATTATAGATACAATATACAACATAATAAACAAATATCTTTATTTATATATATAAAAATTTAACAAAAAAAAAACCAAAAGCTTAAAGGACTAAATGTCTATTTAACGAACTAATATAATAATAATATTTAGTTCGCCTTAAAAAAAAAAAGCTTTCTAAGCTTTCTCTATAATCCTTAACGGCTTAACAGTTTTCTATACAAATGTGGTTTAGTTAAAATGTCCAATTTTCTAGCTTTATAAAATAATCTGAAAAATATATAATTGAAAAAAATGTTATTTTAAACCGCCATAAAACCCAAATAATCAAATAAGGTTATAAGGTTATACTGATATCAGATAACAATTTTGTATCGTTCTTGAACGTAACCTTAAAATTCTCCATATAGTAAATTATGGAAAGTATTATCCATTGTAACGACTATCATTCGTAAGTAATCATTAGATTAGATTGTGCTTCTTCGCCGATGACGTCAATGAATTATCGATGTTGTCATCGTTCAGATTAACGTCGCAATAATATCCGTCTATTCCTGAGGATGTAAGCCTTTTCTCAAGTATCGTTATCCTTTCTCTTAAGGATTTAATTTCTTTTTGCGCTGATTCGTAAAGCGTTTCAAGTTGTGAAGTTTTCGTTTCCAAAGTTCGTATATAATTACATTGACGAAATTTTCTTTTATCAGCTAAATTTTTAACTTGCTTTTCCTATTTGACGAAAAAAAAAAGTTCAGTAAAAAAAATCACATGTTTTCGCGTGTAACTATGATAATTCATAACTCTACCTTCAAGTTACGATGAAAATTACTATCTTTTTTTAACTAATAAATGAGACTCACCGTTAAAGGCATCGTCATATATTTTCTACGCTTAATTAGAATTTGTTTTTCGACATGACTCGAATTTAGAGCTTGTTCTGTAAACATAATATTCAAATAATAAAAAATAATGTTAAAGTTGTTACCATTTATTGTTAATATATATGTTTTCTAATATCGTACAATAATTGTGTATCTGAAATAAAGTTTTTTTTTTTTTTTTTTTTTTGTCGCTTTTTTTCCGGTTGTTATACAATTATGAACAAAAATAAAAATACAAATATATGACATGATAATAAAGTCATTTTGAGGACTGTATTAGAATAAAATAATAATAATAATTTTTTATAAGATTTAAAAAGACGAAAAGGTACCATTATAAATTGGTCTTGACAAAGGTAAACTAAAACAAGCGGGCAACGATCGATTCTCATCCATTTTTCGAAAACGAATAAGTATGAAATTTGTTGCACGAAGAGCTCATCCTTTTCATTGTAATCGTATTTTTATATATAAAATTTTTTTAACCCGGAAATAATTACGGGAAATCACGAAATTGGTTATTTTTAATAATTAACCAAAATATAGGTAAAAGAAACGTGCCCATTTAATTGGATGTCCTTAAAAAAATTCTAGCCAATGAAATATCTTATTTTAGACATCACTATTTGATCATCTTAACTTAAATAATATATAAGGTTGTAATCTGACTTAAAAATTAAAATGCATATGAAAAATAATGTAGGGTCTAACCATAATTCTAAAGTTCGTTTAACATATTTCTCATCACGTGATAATATTGTTTCAATTAAAATAAATTTGAATAAATTTTGACGATTAAAATTTATAAAAAGAAAAGCCGTTAAAATATTAATTAAATTATTATATGGTTTCTATTTTATAAGTTTCAGATAAGGTTTATATTTAAAATTATCATTAGTATAAAAAAAAAAAAAAAAATTTCTTGTTTCTTTTCCGAAAATAATTAATAATTATGATCTGCATCTGGATATTCACTTGGTGTAATGATTCTTTTCCCACACAGACTGAATTAAAAATACTTGGTGGTCATACCCTAAAAAAAAAAATCTAGATATCGCGATAAACGTATTTCAGAAAAACGAGGTTTAATAATATTAATGTATTGGTTTTTGATTTCAATTATGGCGCAAAAGATATCATGTACAAGTTAAAAGATTAGATGTTTCAAAATTCCTGATATTGGTTTGGATAAGATGATTTTTTTTTTTTTGTTTAAAATAATATTTTTTTGTGAGAACAAATATAAAAGGTATTTTCATTTATGTATTGTACATATTCTAAAATTGGGTAAAGTTTGTGGTCACAATATTTACTAACCAATAAAATTTGGGAAAAGTAAATAAAAACAATAAGTTTTATTATAGGTTAGTTATTTTTTTTATTAATAACAAAATTTTTTTATTTATCTATTTTAGGAAATATTTTGTCGAATAAATTGCGTTAATATTTTCGCGCCGATTTTGTCACATTAAACACAATTATCAAAAATCACGTGACGAATTTTAAATTTAAACTTTATTATCATACTACTTTGCAGAAATTTAAAATTTTTTAAGGTATCATTAAGCTACCTTAACTATACTGTCTATGAATCTTATAATGTGACGGTCAAATTTTTTTGGTATATCATCCCTATAATGAAATGGCATTTGGATGATATTTGATGTGGTCATGTAACATTAATTTGCATGACATTTTAACTATACTGGACAGATATTTTTTACAATATTGTGAAATTGTTAAGAAGACATCTTTGTAGCATATTCACGATATTCTAAATGCATTTTTTATATACAATTATTTTTTAAAAGATAAAATACTATTTTGCGTTGCTTATCATCATACAATCAGAAAAAAAAAAATTTTTTTTGCAATTATTTATTAATAAATATCAATATAATGCAGCTTTTAATTATAAATACATATTTATTGCATAAAAAATTTTTTTAAAGAGAAATAAATCATAGAGCCAGATTCATAGCAACTTCAGTGTTGGAACCTCAGATTAACACTTCTAGCATGTGACTATCATATGACTATCTAGTGGAATCATAAACTTCATAGCCACGCTCAATTAAGGGAATGTATTACTAGACCTACGCTAAAGATAACTTTAGCAAGGCTTTCTTTGTGATTTAAAAGAAATTTCATACACTTTGCCAGCTGATGGGATAGCTCATGACCTCTAACTTCAAGTCTGATTATACAAATAATAATTTTATTTTTTGATCTTTCTTCATCATTTCTTAATTTTTCCAATTCTCTTGTATCATCATTCTATCAGAATAAATAATAATGTCAGAAAATTTATTAACGAAAAGTTTTGCTATTATGTTAAAAGTTGTTATTTACCAAAGCAAAATCCAACCTATAAAAAGTATAGTTAAGGTACTTCAAAGAATTCCTAAAAAGAAAAAAATATAAATGAGCAAATTAAACATTCATCAAATTAAAATAAATACTTTTATTTTTGTTTATAATCACTTGTTTTTTTTTTTGAACTTTTCTTTTACGAGTTTGCTTTATTAGTAGCGCAGTTTGCATTTTATCTTAAAGAAAATGTCAAATTAATTATTAAAGTTTAGTATAAAATTAAGATATTAATTTATATAGATTAGAAGATTGAAAATGCCAGGTAAATCATTTACAATATCTTCCTGTGTTATTACTTATTCTTTTTGAGCATGACTACGGGTTTGTCTTTTTTGTGGCATAATTAATAAATATCTTTAATAAAAATTTATTGTAAAAGAAGTTAAAGGATTTGATCTTTGCAACTTTTTTAGCTTTTTATAGAATAAGCTATCGACTAATAAGATTATTGACTGCGTGATTGTATAACAAATCATTGATTACCATAAATGGTATTGCGTAAGAAAAAAAAGTTAAAAAAAAAAGTTAAAAAAAAAGTTTAAAAAAAAAAAGTTTAAAAAAAAAGTTTTTAAAAATTTCACATCTTAATATTTTTGAAAATGTAAGAGCTTGAATATTTTTCAAAAGATTTTAATTTACTGTTATTCCTTTAACAATTTTTAAATACTATTATCTGTAAAAACCTTATCTAGAGATGTATAAAATAATATTAACTATTAAATTCTTACATAAATTTAGGAAAAAAAAATATGAACTCGTTTCAACAATAATTCCGATATTAAATATTTAAATGTCAAAGTTCATGTTAAAATAGATAAACAAGTTTATTGTCATCTGAAATCCCCAAAAAATTTTCTTTATATAGTATACGTATGCTTATTATATTATTAAATGAAATTTAAATTTTTCGTTATTCTCAATTTTTATATTCAAATATATCTCAATATTTTTAGTAATGTCTGAATCAGTGTTCGGAAAATGATTTAAATGATAAAGATTCATCATCTGTATTTTCAATCATTTAAATTATATTATTGCGCTTTTCAAAATTGTGCTACCCCCTGCAGGTCATCTAATAAAAAAGATTATGAGATTATGATTATAGGACGATTACAGGACAAAAACTGGACAATTTTGTCCTGTAATCGTCCTATAATCATCCTATAATCGTCCTATAATCATAATCACTCAGTAATTGTCCAGTAATTGTCCTGTAATTGTCCTGTAATCATAATCATCAAGTAATTATAACGTATACAGAATTCTGAAAACTGCGATAAATAATATCGTGTATTCCAAATTTATTCCGCTTATTTTAAAATAAAGGTAAGTTATATTACCGTATATTATGTGTATAATAATAAAAAAAAGAAAAAAATTGCATCACGTGATTTATTATTTTATATAATTATGTTTGACAAATCACGCGATAATGTGATTAAAATTGAATTATCCGAGCCATTTAATGTGGCTGTGAAATGAAAACAAATGGTAAAGATAATAGTATGATGTCAATTATTCAAAACCAGCTAAAACATAATCCATTATGTAAAAATGTGGCATATTTACAATTATACACACAATATTTATTTTAAAAAAGAAATTATCTATTTCCACATTATTAATTTAAAGTGGCACTGTTCGTTCCGATTGTGGCGCAATGGGCGCAATGGGCGCAATGTAAAAAATCGTGGCAAAAATACACTTGTACGAATATAAAAAATATAACCATGAAATATTTGTCATTATAGAAAAACTTTCTTATAAAAACACCTTGAGACAATAAAAATTTCTTCAAACAAATTAAACAAACAACGAATTAAAAAGTTATACATATCACGAAAAAATATATTATCTGAAATCATGCAATTAAAACACTTACTATTGATTTTTGGCTTTACTATGGCTTTAGCGAGTAAATAAATTATTAAAAAATTTTTTCTTTTTTATCAAATTAGTCAAACGAATTCTTTTAATAATATTTTAATTCACCATTGACGCAGACGCAGCACCAGAAGCCTATGGCTATAAACGTGACGCAGAACCAGAAGCCTATGGCTATAAACGTGACGCAGAACCAGAAGCCTATGGCTATAAACGTGACGCAGAACCAGAAGCCTATGGC